ATGTTCACGCAAAGAAAGAAGGCGTAACTTTTATGATTCTTGCTGTAGTATTGTTGCCGCCGCCGCCGCCATGTCGTGAAGTTTCGTTGTGTGAATGCTGTGTGTTTCGTTGTGAAAGAGAAGCTACTTTGTTTGGCCTTCCAAAAGAGGACACAACTAGAAATCAGTGGTTAAGTTGTATTTACAACACTGTTCCGGAACAGTTCAACCCAAATATTCAGATGTGTGCAGCGCATTTTATGGAGGACAAAGACTGTTTCTTGAGAGAGTAGCCTACAATGCTACTGGGTCTGTTTCTATAAAGTGGGGCAGTTCCAACTTTGCAAGGACAGTACACAAAATAGTGTTCTTTTTAGCAACGTCATATGTCCCCTTTAATATCCCTGCAGCCATTTTCATTGGTGTGACTTCACTGCTGCTGAATCTCTAATGCCACAGAAAATAAATTATATTTTATCTGAGTTGTGAGCTTGCAATCTGAATTGAATGTGACAAATTTAATTGCCATCAAATAATGGCAAAATGTCTGTTTTGTCCTGCGGGCTGCCAGCAAAAACAAGCATACAGCGTGACCAGTGTAGTCCGATCCACAAGCAAATTACTATTATTATGCATTTATTACTTTTATTAATATTTTACTGATTATTTTAATGAATTGTTCCAAAAATCTGTCAAATTTAAGGAATTCCAGTCTTTTGCCAGCTCAGCCAGGTGAATCTGGGAGGTTATCGTGATCTGGCCTGTGTTTCCACAAACGTATGAGCATTCTTTGTACATTCAACTGAAGCCAACAGATATATTGACTCACTTAAAATCCTTTTAGACTTTTTTCCCTTTTCTTCTGCAAGTCATTTTAGGGTCAGATTGTAACTAGTATTTTTGGCTGCCATTTCTATGGTGAATGAGAGTGACGGGTAAGCACCAGCCTAGCAACCAGCACAGGAACCATGTCGGTGGTAAAACAGGCATTAATGCTTTGCTGAATCGTTCAGAGCAGTTACTGTATCAACAACTGACTCACTCTTGAAATGAAGCCAGGTTTAAGAAGCAACAATCACAGAGTTTCAGTACAACAAACTTTAAAGGGTTAGTTCACCCAAAAATTAAAATTCTGTCATTAATTACTCACCCTCATGTCGTTTCAAACCCGCAAGACCTTCGTTCATCTTCGGAACACAAATTAAGATATTTTTGATGGAATCTGAGAGCTGTCTGACCCTGCATAGACAGCAACGCAACTGAAATGTTCCCAAGTCCAGAAACGTAGCAAGGAGATCTGTAATCTCCATTTTGGAGAATATCCGCTGGTCGTAAACAACGTATGCTGTTCTGTGTCAGCTGCGTCACGCCAGATTCCATCAAAAATATCTTAATTTGTGTTCCGAAGATGAACGAAGGTCTTGCGGGTTTGAAACGACATGAGGGTGAGTAATTAATAACAGAATTTTCATTTTTGGGTGAACTATCCCTTTAAAGGGATAGTTTCCGTCCCTTTATTGAAAGTCTGTTCCCACGAAACATTGATGCTTCAAAAAATGAATTACAAAATGTAGAAGTAATCCATATAAATCAAACAGTTTAATCCAAGTCTTCTGAGGACATAATGATTGCTTTGCTTGATGAACAGATTTAACGAGTGCACATATTTGCATGGCATACGAGAACAAACCACATTGGTACTTGCAGAAGTTCATTTGTGCTTGCATGACACTCACTGGTTCTCTCGCATCCAGCAAACACTTTGAGCTTCTGTTTACCATATAGACCTTAGCCAGTGTAGCATCATATTTAAATTCTGACAGTAATGAAAGAGGGATAGAAATACAGTGCTCATTAGATTGCACAGTTGTTTTTAACAACGTACCAAATGTTCAGCTGAAGAAACATCATTTCAAAAGACTTTCAGTAGACCAAAAAAACTGTTTTAGCCCATAAAACAATTGTAAACCTTTATACAGCGCATGCCACACTGTAAGTCTATCCCTCACAGTCTCGTTTTCATCTGGTTAAATTCATTATGGTGTCTACCCTGATTAAAGTCTGATTTGATGTGCAGTAAGTATGTGCATTGATCAATGTTTATATATTCAAGCCTAAATTAGATCTGTTCATCATATTAAGTAATCTCTTCAGAAGACTTGGATTAAACCATTCTATTCATATGGATTTCTTTTAGAACGTCTTTGACATTTTTAAAACATCAAAGTTTTGGTTGTGTGGACTTTTAGTGGAGGGACAGAGATCTCTAAGGTTTCAATAATATCTTCATTTGTGTTTTAAAGATGAACGAAAGCTTATGGGTTTGGAATGACTTAAAGTTGAGGAAATGATGACACAATTTTAATTTTTAACATTGGAATCTTTTAAGTTTAACGTTTAAAAAAACAAAATAGCATTCGTATGGTTGAAATTATCTACAAAACAAAGTCTGAATAGAGTAAGTTTGTAAGTTTGAGACAAATTAAAAAATAAGAGGCCTTGTAAGCATTGTCATTGTCTAATTGATTAGTAACACAGTTTGACATTTGGCATGTGAGCGAGTGAACACTCTATCACACTCACTCAGTTATTTTATGCGTGCCTCCAGACACGAGTCTGAGCTGAAGCGTCAGTGTGATGTGTTTGTGGATTAGGATTCATTTGAACATTCCCGAGTCGAGTAAACATCCAAACGCATGCCTCAGTTCTCAGTTCTCTGATGGGAGTGGAAACCCCTCTGAGTGTCTGAGAAGGGCTGCGAGCCTCCCTCATGTCTTTTCTCATGACCTCTGCCTCCCCTCAAGCACTTCCTGTCCCTCTACATGACTGAGGCCTCACACTGCCACAACAGTGCTTTTGCTTCTGTGTTTTACTCACTCTGTGATTGGTCACTTGAGTGGTTAGAGAAGAATGTGTAGTGTAACTGTGATTTGCATTTTGTGTGGGCTGTCAGTACTTTAAAAGGATTCATTTGGAATATATCTTAAATATTGAATTTGCTCTATTCACTTTTCAAGTTCTTTACTTTTTTTTAAAATGCAATGCATTCATTTATTTTTTTTTAAGAAATAAAGATGTTTTGTTGATGCCACAGCTTAGATGATAATCTTGCTATCTTTGGTGATTTAACTTTGATATTCCAAGTATTTTGTAATGTTTACAAACTTTTTCTTGCATATTTTCAATGCTCATGTGCGCTAAAAAAGGTGTAGTAACAGTTTTCACTCAGAAATTGCTAGTAAATTTCACAATTAATTGCAAGGAAACAAGTAACCCATTGAATTACACGTGAAAGTAGGAAAGCTGATGTAGTATTTTCTTGTAGAACATACTCCAATAGTCTTTGTATTGTTTACAACTAAGACAAATATTTTTTTAAAGTGTACTTTGGTTATATGTAAACTGATTAATATTATACAGTAAGTTACTAGAGGCTTGTTAAGTGTGACTGCTTCAGCTGTGATTATATTCACAATATAGCACAGCCTCTCATAAAATTTTGCTACCTGCTAAGCATATATTAAAGACACTTTCTTTTATTGATCTAGTTCATTAAGTGTCATCCTTTCACTAGCTCTAGTTGTGCAAACAAAGGTTATAGTTGGTGTCTGTGGGTGTTATGCCATGACATACCGGAGAACAGCTGATACTGTAACTGTACAATATTAATTAACATCTAGGTGTCTCCATTTAATAATAACCAAATGGACCTGTGCATTTTGAGGTGCATATGTGGATGGGGAAAATTGCTCCAGTTGTCCTGTACGCATTGACTGAAGTGTTTAAAGAATGATGCTGCACTAATGGACTGAATGTGTTAATGGTGTGATAATAACAGCTGTAACGGTGCACTGAGACCCAGCTGATGCTCGGCTCCTGGTTCACCGGGTTCATAGAGATGTCAGTCACCTCGCAGACCCCTCATGCTGCTGGGTGTGCTGGCTGCTGTTTGTGCTCTTGCAAAGTTGAAGTCTGTGTTTTAGTGTGCGTTTTCTGCATGCTGCCTTCATCAGAAATGTGCAGTCATGTGAATGAGTGAACAGCAGTTTCATGTGATTTTCAGTCACTGGATTTGGTACACATATCTGGCTAGGAGAGGGCGGGATGACAAAATCTTAATTAAAAATTCATTAAAATTAAAATAATTTGTTTTAAAAAAATGTAGAAAATGGCTGTTTAATTCTTACATTTTTTATCTTTTTATTCAGAATTTAATGGAATCAAACCAAAAAAAATTAAATTATTCATAACAAATGACATCAGCGCACAAACATTATAAAGGACGTGAGTTAAAAACAACACTCAAAACAACTATATATATATATATATATATAGGCTATATATAGCTGCACAACTCTGACTGTTGTTGTTTTATAAATTGACATTTTTAAATTACATAAAACTTTAACGTTGCTTCATGAGTGTTTGTAATACAATGGCAACTTTGACATAATCTCAATACCCCCCCCACCTCCTCTTTTGTAAAGTCATAGAAACGTGGATTTATTTATTTATTTTTTTGCTATTGGAGCAAATCGGGAACGCAGAAATTATGAAAAATGCTTTGTTTCCAGAAGTTCACCCAACTGTGACGAATTCCGTTTTTAAAAACCCCGGAAATGTGAAAAGGGTCCAAAGTTGTTTTTGCAGAAACTATATATCTGTTTTATATCAGTGTAATTCATATTTAATTTTGTGTGATATTATAATCTTGTTATATATATTTTTATTTTATTTTATTCTTTTTATAGTTTAATGGAAGAGAACCAAAACATAAGACATTATGATGAACCTAAATTGAAAAAATAAAATAAAATTCACAATGGCAAGCTGCTGTTAACATATAAGACAGTATATGCACACCTCTGACTGTTGATTTCTTTATAAATACGCCAGTTTGCACTTTTGCTTGAAAAGCACGAATAACCTACAGTTACACCATGTTTACAAATACTAAATCACACTCTACTGGATGAAACATTAAAATAAACGTCATTCCACCCAGCCCTCCATCCAGCTTGTCGTGTGAATGGGGCGACGCCTGTTTTGGGTGGTTACTGATGGATGTCTCTCATTTCAGGAAGCATCTATTCTAGTCCTGGACTTTACAGCAAGACCATGACACCTACCTATGACTCTCGGGACGGCAGCCCTCTGTCCCCCACCACAGCATGGTTTGGAGACAGTCCGCTGTCAGAAGGCAATCCCAGCATCCTCGCTGTCAGCCAGCCCATCACCTCACCCGACATTCTGGTCAAGATGTACAAACCACAGTCCCTCCTGGACAAGGCCAAGATCAACCAGGGGTAAGCTGGGACAGGTCTAGTGTGTGAAGACTAGGGTTGGGTATCGTTTGGGTTTTTTACGATACCGGTGCCAAATCGATACTTTTAAAACGGTACCGGTGCCTGAACCGATACTTAAAAAAAAATAAAAATTATACCCAAAATAGGATGGATTGGCCATTATTGAGCGCTATAAACACATTTAATGTCTGTTTCATTCATACTGGACGCCAGAGGGCGCCCTCGTGCAGAAACGCCACAAATGCATCACAGAAGGAATAGAACTCAGGAAATCCCTAATATGGATAAAGGCATTGCTATCGCTGTAACTGAGTAAACAGGAGATATAACATTTTGAATGATAAAGCAAAGACGATAAACACTCGACTGCGACAATGTATAGTTTATCTGTGTTATTCAAGCCATCTTTGGTATTTTCATCATAATTAAGTATATTTATAATCCATTGCTAATCGACATAGCCTTTTTACCATATGCTTTTAACAGTATAAAACATATTTTCTGCCTCATTCTGTGACAAGAAGCCACATCAGATCACAACTGGAAGTAGTTGTGGAGTAAAAACTTTATAGTGTTCTCTTTTGTTGGACAACAGGTTTAGAAACGCTTCTTATTGCAAGTCATTAAAAGGAAGTTTAGCTTTAGGCATTTTAATTTAAGAATGTTTAGCTTAGCTAGCTAATGGTAGGCTACCTGCTGCCGTCAGAGCAATTGTAATTACTGCATTCACGCGCTCCTCGGATGCTCTTTTTTCCCGAGTTGTGTTTTTAAGTCGGAATGGACACTCGCAGTACTACAAGTGGCACCGAAATCTGCGTTCTGATTCAGTTCTAGTACATACCGGTTACATGGCACCGGGTTTCGGTACCCAACCCTAGTGAAGACTCTGATTCAGGAAGGCTTGCGCTCATATTCCTCTGAATGTCTCGGTGAAGGTGGCTGGACTCCTCCAGATCACTGATGGAGCAGGATGTGAAGGAGAACGAGGTTCTTCTGCTCCGGTTCAAGTATCACAGCTTCTTTGACCTCAACCCAAAGGTCAGTGTGTTTTGCACCTTAGCACTTATAATCATATATGCATGATGCCGAATAGGACACAATCACACACGAGTTCTTAATATCAAATGAAAATCCACCGTTATGCTCCTCATGCCAGAGTCCAGTATCTCTTAAACGTATTTTATTAAATTTAGGAAATGATATTACTCATCAAACACTTTCAAATATTTTATTATTATTTTTATTCATTATTATGAAAGAGTCAAACCCAAATCCATTTAGGAGTTTTGTTATAAAGAACATAGGTTTTTAAATAGCTTTTAATACTATTTTAACATGTTACTCGCCATGAAAATAGACAAGGAAACTGGCATGGCATTAAAACGCCAACCAACCAACTGTAGCACATATACATTGCCATTCAAACGTTTGGGATCAGTAAGATTTGTAATGTTTTTAAAGACGTCTGCGTTTATTTGATCAAAAATACAGAGAAAAAAAACGGTAAATTGTGAAATATTATTCCAATTTAAAATAATGGGGTTTTCTATTTTAATAAACTTTTATTTCTGTGATGCGCAGCTGTATTTTCAGCATCATTACTCCAGGCTTCAGTGTCACATGATCTTCAGAAATCATTCTAATATGCTGATTTATTATCAATGTTAGAAACAGTTTTGCTGCTTAATATTATTTTTAAATCTGTGATACTTTTTTCAGGATTCTTTGAATAAAAAGTTAAAAAGAACAGCATCTATTTAAAATAGAAATCTTTACCACTTTATATTAAGTGGCCTTAATTACTATGTTTTTACATTTAAATTAATAATTTGGTACAATGCATTATTGTGTACATACATGTTTTTACATTGTACTTATATTTTAAAAATACCTGCATGTAAATACATATGTAATTAATTTCTGTAATTACATTTATAATTACACTGTTGACCCATCCCTTAAACCTTAACCCACCCTTAAACCTACCCATACCACCAAACCTGTCCCTAATCACCCGTATGCCACCTCAATAGCAGCAAAAATGTACATTTTTTAGTACATTGTAGTTATTTTTATGTAAGTACATAGTAGTTAAGGCCACTTAATATAAAGTGGGACCATCTTTTCTAATAAAAGCTTTTCTAACAAAGTCTTTAATATTATTTTTTATCAATTTAACAAATCCTTGCTGAATAAAAGTATTAATTTATTTCAAAAAAAGAAATAAAATGACCATTTATTTCTACATTATGACCATTTTAATGAAAAAAACATACTAAGATTTAGGGGTGGGAATCACCAGAGGCCTCACGATACGATATTATCACGATACTTGTGTCACGATACAATAGTATTGTGATTTTAAATATATTGCGATATTCTGCGATATATTGCAATTTATTACCTTTTTCCAAATTAAAATTGTCCCCAAACAAAAACTTTGGCAACATCTGTTTTAATTAAAAAGAGACATTTCTCAGTTTGTTTATCTCACTTCAATTTTATTGTTGCAGTGCAAAATGGGATTGTCAAGCAGAGAAACTGACCAACACTTTCATGAAAACCTGTCTTAAATGTTGTATGCACCTGGCAAACTCAACTATTTGTATTACAGTCTAGTCTAGTCAACCTTAATTAAATGTAAACAGTTATGCACTGCTGTGCTACTACAGGTATTTTGAACAGTGCAATTTGAAATTGTACTAAAAAGTTGTGCAGACCCTTCAGCAATTGGGGCATTTGAAAGTAAATTACTGTTAAATTTGAATTAAATTAAATAAAACATATAGTCTTATATCTAGGGATGCACCGAAATGAAAATTCTAGGCCGAAAACCGAAAATGCTTTGTAATGATTATTTATTATTTTATTAAATAATATAAAGTAATTTTGTCATTTTTTGTTTTGTTATTTTTTTGACTAATTATCCAAATAATGTATAGTCCTACGAAGCTATTATTATCAGAGCATATGAGCAGAGCATAGCGTCACTGAAGTTAGCATCATTTTATCAGCGTTGCCCAGTACAGCTGAACTAGCCTACAGCATGTTACAGCACAGTAGCGCTACTGCAAACCGGAA